AAATATATACTTTCGATATAACATCTGAAGATTCTGATTTCAATCTGTGATAATATCGTGTATATGAACTACTAAGAAATCTTCCACAAGGAAAAATAGCTATTCACTTCTTATTTTTATAAATATCCAAATAATTCAGTACAACTTGTGAAATCACTAAATCAGCTTATTTGTTAAATTACATGATTAAAAGAAAATCTTACCATATTTAGAAGAAACTTTGACTTTCTTCTGACTTCAATCAGACAGTAGATTCTGTTATTCTGAATTAGATTTAATAAAAACTTCTGAATCTCAAATGCCCTGGTGCGGCCGAAGGTTGGGAGAGTCAGCCCTCTTTCTCGAAATGCTCTCACATGACCACGAGTATACAGCCACTGCCAGGGAAGTCCTAATCACTGCCTTCTCACCACTGGAGTGTTGTTTACGTGACTGAGAAGACGAAAAGCGAACGTCCGGTACTTTAACCCGGTTGGTGGACACGAAGAATCCAGCGAAGGGAGTTGGAATACCTTGATTCACCGGCTACCATGTGACTGCATCTCCTGACGTTGTTTCACTGCTTTGTGGATCAAACCTTTGGGTCAAAGGCTCGGGTTGTGTCCACCCCCTAAGAAAACCAACTGCTTCAGTTTGAGCATTCGGACAGTATCATAGCCCACATATATATCAAGTGACTTGTTTGGCGCATATGTATTTGGTGTCCCGTTGTATGAATATTTATTTATTCAAAGAAAAACATTCCAGTAGGATAAGTACAGATTTTCATACTAATGTATGATTAGATAACTTCTCAAACTATGGAAATTGTATGATTTTACGATCATAGTGAACTAACCATATATCATTTTTAAGGATATACCTTTTATTCTATAGTGTTACACCGTAAACTGTCTACTTTTGTTCACTGTTTCAATCCAATTCCATTATCAAAGGAATTACGAACAATAAAGGAATCAATAAGTTAGTTGGAAAATATTGCCCGTGTTAAGTGGTTGCTGATTGTCACATTTAACTCACAATCTATATACTACTTAAATTGATTTTTAATAAATTGATATAGAATATAAATAGAACGCAATTGATTGTATCGTTTTAAAAGATTATACTAGATTTAATGTAATAACTGAAGTTTATAGTCAAATAGAGCAGTTAAATCTTTACAATAATAAAACAATAGATGATAACGGAGTTAGTTAACTCCATTGAACAAGTTGGTGGCTATCAGTATCTAAGTTTATGACGAGATGTTGTTTAAAATGAATGGTCCTAGGTTCGTGTTGCGGAGTGAACATCAACTCTGGAATATAGAGAAATTCAACCAGCCAGTCTCAGATAGGAAGAAACGCGTGTTCTAGATTCCACTGCTAGAAACTATCCGTTTTCCGAGTTCGATTCACCACTGTTGATCTGCATTGACAGGAAACGTCAAGTTAAACACAAAGTTTATATCCTTCACTCATTTATTTAATCACAATTGGTTATTTTCGGACAATTAACTGTGGTAATACTTTTCTCATTCATTTGTGTTCAGTTAACCGGTTAGTATTTATGGGCTTCATAAACCTCATAAATCACCACATATCTTATGCTAAATTTCGACAAGAACGACTGAGGTATCTTAGTTTCCGGTTAGTGTAGAATCAGTCCTATTTACGAATGATTGAGGTTTCTACTGCGACGCCATGAATAAGGATTCAGATAGACTGAATGTCTGTCACACAACAACACTTTAACGTCAAACATCCACACACCGTAATAGAGGTGAGACTTTCAGGATAACTTTATATTCCTTACAGAAGTCAAAAACTGAAAAAATTTTTTACTTTATTCTATAGTACCATGTTATTAACTTGGAGTGCCTTATGAAGTTAATAGACTAAAACTGCTAAGCAATCGGGTGATAGCAAATATTATTCTGGGAATACAGCAGGTGAGTCGTGACTCGGATAGCTCATTGGTAAAGTCTGTGATTATGAATCTGAGTGACGTGTGATGAAACCCATCAGGGGTCATCTGTCCTCTCAAGATTACCAGTACACTTGTGGTGTGTGCTACTGATGTCGACAGACATGAACAATATGTATCACTAATGAAAAATGGAGTGCTTCGAGGTAGATGGCTGAGAAAACCGAAGAGAAGAGAACGAGAACAAAGATTGATTGGTGTGGAAACGAAGGAGCAATTAAGTTTGAAACAATCGATTGACATTTAGTAAATGAAGTATTTACTGTACGGTTCTTAGATTTTACTAAGCGATTCTGTAATGGTGTATTGGAATTCATTTGGTTGTCTCCACTGATGTTCTCGTTCACTACAAACCTTGCTGACGAGAACCAATGACATGAAATCCGTGTCCAGGGTTTCCTATCGACAACCTTAGATTTCAATATAGTGCACTTGATGCTGAGTCATCTAGATTAGTGGTCAACTTGCAACTTGGTCAATAAGACCCGAACTGCACTAAAAAGGTCCTAACACACATAAAATGTAATAGCGAAAAAAACCCAGATAACCTGATTCCATATTTACAATCTAGTTATGAAATTACTTAATAAGTCGTTCACTAAATAAATTTTCTAATCACTTCAATGTACTAACTCACAAACTAACACACACACACACACACACACAAATAACCATCTTTCTCTTTCCCATTATTACAATGAATAAACAAAATATTTTTCAGTAATAAGGTGGGAAAGATCAAATTTTTGCTTAATACAAAATTACAAACTGTCTTTATTAACACATCATTCATCAATTGTTCCTTCATTTCTGTTGTTATTATGATTACTCTCTGTCTGTATTTCTGTTCTCTTCAATTTGATCTTTTCATCCTATTGTTGCCAGGCCTTCTACTACTGTTAAGTTTTATATACAATCATTGCAACCTGGAAGCATTGAAAAGTCCGGGTATGGGACTCCTCAATAGTGTGCGTCTACAACCTCACCATCACATGTTGAACCGAAGAAATCAGACCGCTCGCGCGACCATTCAATATTTAGACAGCTGAGTAGGAATCCAATGGTGTAATTGTTTAATTCCAATCAATAATTTATTTTAGTCATAAATAGAAATTCAGTTGAATGTTTTCTAGTTATTTGAAAGCATTTCACAATGGATAATGTTAGGTTGTTGAACATAGGTTTTAGGAAACTTCGCTAGACTTAGGTTTCTTGCTAGTTGATGCTTGTTAGCGCGCTGTACTTTCAATCATGAGAGAGCTCATCTTTTTTGATGAATTCAAATCTACATCAACCAAATTTACAGTATCAGACTTTATCACTGAGTTAGTCGACCTGTAACCGGCACTCTATAGACTGAGATAGTAACATTGCTTGGTCACTGACAAATAACTTATGTCATGTCCTTCTAGCCCTTTAATGTTGATGAAGTTCCATCATTGACCACTAAAAACTATGGGTAATATTTGTTTTTCCTTTAAAAAAGAAACAGTTGAACTGATGAAAGTCATATGAATTATTTTCTCTAACTTATTATTATTACCTTAGCCCATGTTTACAGGTCTGAACTCATTTATCATTCTTGACAGGAATCGGATGGGGGACAAAAAGAGAGTGTTCACTGAATCACTGAACAATGTACAGATCACTGAAACATAAAGAAACATTTAATAAGGTTACACACTTATAACGATATATGCCTAGCCTCCTATTAACAGGTCATATTCATAAAACATTTGTAAACAGTTGAAAGGGAATACTTGCGAATGTTTACATGATACTGACAAAATGTTTCTCTGTGTGTGTGTGTGCAATAGCAATTGCCATTAAGACATGAATGTGATACGAACACGACAAAACTTATTTAAATTATTAAAAGGCCTAAATTAAAAAATTAATGACAATTCACAACACATAGTTCTGAAATGTACGTTAAACAGAATGAAAGATGGTCGCGCAATTTCGTGATTTGGTTGAGGTTAGACATTAACACAGTTGGATGCCAGCTCAGTGGTCTAAAGATTAAGCGTTCGCTCGCGAGACCGAAGATCCTATGTTCGAATCCTGCGGGCGGGATCCTGAATGTGTAATGTTGAGGATTCTCATAATAAAACGAAACCACTGTCCATTGTGTCCGGGTTTTCAATAGTGGTCTCATATCAATCGATTCATAATCTCAATCAAAAAACAATAATTTTCATAACTTCATACTGGGAGTTGTTTTGCTTAGCTCCGTTGTCACTTTTCGCATTGTAGTTAAAAGAATTTAATTTCATATAAGCAGAATACTTCATCAGTCAATATTTGGCAACTCACATATAAGCCTGCCCTAATATGGATTTCATACGATGTTAAGAGCAAATCATGGGAATGTTCTGCTTTCTACTGAACTAATCCAACTGTATAGTATAGGAGTTAACACTATTCAATGATCATAAATGTCTACTGACGTTCCCTGATGAACACCGAAAAATCCAATAATCTTTCCAAACTCCTTGCACTAATAATAATAATATACTCACTAATAACTGATTCCGTGAAGTAATTCTTGGAGTTTTAGTAAGAGACCATTACCGGTGGAGTTCAGCTGTATCATGATCGAGACAGTTTACCTATCAATGAAGTCTCACAATACTTGCGCATTTTCACGAACTGGGAATTAAACACTCTGTGAAATCTGAATAACCCATGACTTAACACTTACTGAAATTGTGAATGTGCACTATTGAGTTCTTGTACTAAAACAAATCAGTTATCCAGTTTTTCTTGATTTTTAATGATTATCTAACTTGGATGCCGACTCACTGGTTTAGACGTTAAGCGTTCGTACGCAAGATTGATTAGTTCTGGGTTCGAAACTCGTCAGGCAGGATCGTGGATATACAATGCTGTGGAGTCTAATACTAGGATGAAACAGTCGTCCAGTGCTTCCAGGTTTTGAATTCATATTCATATTCATATCGTTCAATCAATAGTTCAATCCCATTTACTCTGACTTTCTTTTTCTTTTTCGACAAACTACTCAACTTTAGGTTGAACTAGCTACTGAACAAGAAACATTAATGAATGATGAAAATTTATTGAATAATGATAATGATAATGAAGAACATAAAGGAATAAATGATACCATAGATACAAATGATAAACAACAATTAGTTAATTGTTCACTTGATAAAAGTATCATTGATAATTGTAATAAAAATATGAAAAAAATGAAATCCACATTGATGAAACATAATCGTGATATTTCACCATTAGGTGGGTATTTACATACAACAGGTTATTATTCTATGAAATCATCCACAACAACAACACCTTCAAGACCATTAAGTACTATTGAATTAGATCATGAAATTGATATTATGCTTGATGAATTATCCATTGATTGTTTACAAAATAAAGATTCTAATCGATTATCTAATGATATTCAACATTCTAAACTTAAAGAACATTCAATACGTCCATTACGTTTATTGAATACTTCAAATCATAATGAAGATGATATAGATAGTTTAATGAATCATGAACAATATGATAATGATAATCAATATAATTTACCTGAATTGAATACTTATGTCAAAATATGTAAACCAAGAAAATTTGGATTAAAAGTATTTCATCGTTACTATATATCTATTAAAGGAATTGAATTATATGTTTATAAGGTAAGTATTGTTTATTGTGTGTGTGTCTGTGTTTCATATTTGTTAATGACTGATCCCTTGTCTTATTATCATCAATTATTATTAGTAGTAGTATTATTTTAACACACAGATATTGGTACAAGGAGATACCAAATACATATGCACCAAACAAATCTCATTCGATATGTGTAAGGGCTGTGATACTTCCCGGGTGCCCAAACCGAAGCAGGTGGTTTTCTTAAGGGGCCACTTCCCGAGCCTTCGACCTGAAAGTTTGATCTACAAGGCAGCGGAGCGACGTAAGGAGATGCAATCCCATGGTAGCCGGTGACCAACAATTGGTTCATATGCCATTTGTTCCTTCAGGATACTGGAGCCCGTATGCACCATTGGTTTGGAATCCGGTTAAAGCGCCGGACATTCGCTTTTCGTCCTCTCATTTTCGTAAACAACACCCCCTCCACAAGAAGGCAGTGAGTAGGACTTCCCTGGAAGAGGCTATATACGCGTGGCCACGTGAGAGCATTTCGAGAGGGAGAGCGGACCCTCCCCACTCTCGGCCATACCAGGGCATTTGGGGCATTATCATCAAAACAATATAAATATTTATAAACAGTTGTTTACGTAAGATATTCAATATCCATTTTTTTGGATATCATCAACTGTTTACTCAAGATACTGGATGTCGATTGACCGGTTACCATCAACAACAGCGTAATATGGGAGAGAACAAATCAGCTTCTAGTTGAAGAGGTAATTAAGAAAATGATGTTAGAAGTGGATAGGATATATATTGAGGAAATCATAAAGTAAGCGCTAACTTGGAATCGTGAAAGGAAACTGAAAAGAGGAAGAACACACTACATGAGTAGGATGAATAGCAACTAGGAAAAATTGTCTAGAATAGAGAGAGAGAATGCTTGTAATTGGCCTATGCTCCTCCATAAAGAGTAACAGACGTAAGTATGTAAGTAAGCAAGTAAGTAAGTAAATCCTTGACTTGCAACTTTCAAAGTTACGTAATCACTATGGCTAGATTGTAACACTAGTAGTATAAAGTCAAGTATACTAACTCATTCTAGATAATTTGGTTAGTAAGTATATGGTTTCTCCTTATTAAAATTCATTACTCTGATTTATCACTCTATATTGCTATAACTTTAGTAGATTTATTTAGTCTAATGAAAAAATTACTGGGTTAGAATCTTAATGTAAACATCGAAACTGTAATTTTAGTGGTCGAGGATCTGACTCCAGTGAGATCGTTTCAAATTTCTATGCAATTTGTGTATTAACTACTTATAAGTAATATAGTCGATTAACAGTAACTAAACTTACTTTTTGACTAATAGACTATAAGTCACTGCTTGTCACTAGAACTCCAGGAAATACCTCTTGAAGCCAGTTACTAGTGAGCATATGTTGATTAGTATCAGAAAGGTTTTTGTGCAGCTCAACTGAATCTTTTGTGAGATAGTGACTCACTGAAGACAATAGTGGATATGTCGCTCACTTTCGTGGATTAGTTGAAGTTAGACATTAACACCATTGGATGTCGGACAACTCAGTGGTCTAGAGGTTAAACGTTCTTTCGCGAGACCGATAAATCCTGAGTTCGGATCTTGCGATGCAGGACCGTAGATACGCACTGTTGAGAAGTCCCACAATTGGATGAAACAGCTATCCAGTTCTTCTAGATTTTCCATAGTGATCTAGCTTCAATTGACTCATGATCTCAAATGTTAAAATTACTATAATATCCACAAAATCCCTTCTGATACTAACAGACCATAGTTTAGAAGTAAACAGCTCTATGTATTACTGGATTTCTAGCATAGAATGACACTTATACGTAACGTATCTCAAATGTTACAATTTATAAACAAATGAGGTTGTCAAATTTTAATGAGTCATATACATGCTGTCATTTCATGGACTCTGGCATCATTCTTTAAGCATATAGAGCATTGGTGTAGATGTTTTACATTGAAGTTTTATTATTCATCAGGAATATATTAGTTAGATAACTAGTAAAAACCCATGAAGAACTGAAGAAATTTTTCGTTCTAGTAAAAAATATTTCAATCATTTATACACATGCCCCATCCGGTACTAAACACGAGACTTTGTGCCTTAATGGTAAACAGCCAAAATGTAGACAATTCATTAGTTTACATTAAGTTTGTAAGTTTACAATATGATTCTAACATTCATCAGTTCTATCTAGAATGTGTTTATGGGTGTTCACTGTGTAATTCTTATACTTGAATCAAGTAATGGTTCAGATTTTCTTTCTTTTAATAACTATCTAACTTATATCATTATACTCATTGAATAACATGTCCAAACCCTAATCTTTCCGATTACTGCTTATACTCTTGCCACCTCTACCTCTACGGGATTTGAATTGACAACTGCATGTCTGTTCTAATGTGGTACGGCAACTCGAACTTATGTACGTATGTACGTACGAGGTTCTACGTTGTTACTGACTGACTGACTGACTGACTATATCATTACAGTATTCATCGGTGAAACTAATTTCTTTCTTTTTCTTGTTCTTCTTCATTTTTTTATTTCTCCTAGAACAAAGATGATTATTTATCAAATAGTGATACTGTTGAAGTAATCTATTTACCAGGATGTGAAATACAATCAGATTTATGTATTACTAATGAAAAATTTAATATACGTTTATTTGTTCCAATAACACGTACTAATTTACCATTATCATCTGCATTTGCTTCATATCAATCAAATAAGATACAAACAAATGATGAAGATCCAACTATAAGTAGTAAATTAAAACGTAGAGCATCATTATTATCATTAACTTCATTATCCCATTTAAGTAATGCTCTTGGTATATCATCATCATCATCATCCTCATCATCATCACATCATCATACACAGAATGGACTCATTAATATAAGTGGTATTGGTGCATTAACTGGTTCATCTGCTACTATGACTGGTCTTATCAATGAATTATGGTTACGATTTTTTAATTTAAATGATTACATAGATTGGTTAACAATATTACGTATGACAACAGCTATACAATCAACAATCATGCTTCATTCTTATACAGATATCTCTAATACATCATCTAAGAAATCATCTAAGAAACAACAGATTATTCTTTCTTCTTTATTAAATCGTTCCACATTCAATATAGAACATAAAGCAATTACAAATCTTATCAATTTATTATCACCAAATTGTTTAAATCTTAAACAAACAAATAATGAAATGATCAATTTAACTAGATTATATAATCATTTAGAGAAACGTTTCATTGATCTATTACCATTAAGATTAGGTTATTTAAAAGTATCACAAAGAACATGGGATTATAGACGAGATCATTATTATAATCAATATGATAGTTTATTAAAACGTTCAAATACTTTAACAAATCAAGATAAACCTCCGATTCATTCACAAACTATACAAGTAAGTTTATATTGAAATTTTATTTTGAATTGATATGAATGTTCATTGTTATTTGATCGTGAAAGCGGTTTAATTCCACAAGGTAGTGGAACAACGTAAGGAGATATAGTCCTATGGTAAGTGGTAACCAATGATTGATTCATATGCTATTTGTTCTTTTAGGATACTGGAATGCATGTATACTATTGGTTTGGGATAAGAGTTTTCTAACATCCCTAGATGAACTCTCTGTGTCCACCATCCCGTTTTAAGCACTGGACATTCACTTTTAGTCCTATCAACCTTGTAAACAACACCCACGTCATGTCAGTAGTTGTATGCACGTAGCCATGTGAGAGCATTTCAAGATGTCAACCTGACTCTCCCCACTCTCAGCCGTACCAGCGCATATAAACCAAGATTTATGTGTCTATGAGCTACGATAATTCGATTCTATAGTCCGCCAATAATTAGTTCACTTTATCAGTATAGGATTGCAGAGATTATTAAGTTATTGATTGAGATCATGAACCTTTGGGAATCTGGAAGTAATGGATGGTCGTTTCGTCCTACTGTGGGACTCCTCAACAGTGTGCATCCACGATCCCGCTCACAGGATTGGAACACAGGGCCTTCGGTTTAGTGCACGAAAGCTCAACCTACTAGACCACTGAGCCGGTATCAAACGATGTTAATGTCTAACCTCAACCAATCCACGAAAGTGTCCGACCATCTTCCATTGTAGTGAGGTAGATATCTGTCTCTACCCGGCACAGATTAGCTCCACTGGTCACGGCTTTAATCTTTTAATCGGTAACATAAATAATCTGCAAAATCCCATTTTGATAATTTAGTCGAGGAAAACTGAACAACTATTTCATATCGCTGGTAAGACTGTTTGAAAAGAGTTGTTTGTGTTGGTGTAATGGTTCACAGGAAATCGCTGGTCTCAGAACAGTTCAACCGGAGTGGTAGCAATGCAGATTGAATAGTTGTAAAGTGCGAGAATGAGTGGATTGTACACATATGATTAGTCGTGGATAGGATGGAAGAAGTTTGAGTAAAGCACGAGAAATGAGGGGAATCGTTCTTCCGAGAGGTTAGCAACATGGGCAGAAATCGGAGGAACTCAGCACTGGAAGAATGTGAGTGTTACGGGATGTGAGTGAAGTACCGATTGGTGGTGTTCAACATAGCATTAATTGTATTCTTCGTCCGCAAATATATTCCCCATTAACGATCCACACGTTTCCCACTGTCGTCTACTGATCACTGATTCATTCAAGCAAATCGATCCAGTAGATCAGCATATACACACTGAATGAAACTATTGTGTCTATTAGCTAGGATAATTCGATTCTACAGTCCGCTAACAACTAGTTCACTTTACTCTTTTAATCAGTGACACAAATAATCAACAACAGTGACTGAAAATACTGTTCTATAGTGGTTAGCACAACTCCTTCTATCTCTAATGATCAGTCCGAATGAGAGAATACCAACCCAATTTGTCACCTAACATTATAACTCAAAAATGTATAGGATTACATACATAAATCACGCAACAACAATGCATCACAAATAAGAAATCAAAATATGTATACAACCACCAATAAAAAAACTGAGTAATAAGCGAATGATGTGCATAGTTCTAATAGTTCCACCTTTCCCGAATAATCGTCCATATCTAACAATTCAGAGGCCGAAGGCCCTGGGTTCGAATCCCGCAAGTGGTATTATGAATGCCCATTGTTGAGGGGTTCCACAATAGGACGAAACGACCATCCAGTACCTCTAGGTTTTCAACGGTTTTCTAACATCAATCGGTTCATGATCTCAATGAAAAACATAATAATTTCCACAACCCCATACTGATAATTTAGTAAAAAATCGACGAAAAATGAACAAATATTTCATTTTTAGACTTCTCAGTAGTGCTCGTATGGTATATTGAATTGATTTTACGTCAAATCATGTTAAATCGAATGTCAACCGAATTGTCTGAATAGATCTTTTTTGATGCAAATGACGTCAACTTAAAAGCCATTTTAGGTATATGTACATCCTTCACAGATTGACTCGATATAGCCTTTATGATACAAGTTGATATCGAATAGATAGAATGTGGCTGACGATAGAATCCAGGCGAATAACTGTCTGGACTCAGTAGCTAAGTGAATAAATAGGTGGTGTTTGAAGCGAAAGATACTAGATTTAAGTCCTTCAACAAACATCAACTTTAGGATTCAAGTAAATCCAACTGACGAGTCTCAGATAGAACAAAACGCGTGTTATGGATTCCATGGCTATCTATTCTTTATAAATTACATTGTTTCTTGACTGAATGATCTAAAACATTTGACATGAAATCATTAAATCTCAGGTTTAAGTGGCGTTTTAAATCATCTGGCAAAACTTACACATTTGAGTTGCAATCATAATGTTTGTATATAGGTCAGGTTCATGCATGGGACCGACAGTCCTATATTCAAATCCCATGCATTGTATCATGTATGCCCACTGCTGAGGAGTCTCATACTAGGACGTAACAGCCATTCATTGCTTCCAGGTTTTCAATAGTAGTCTAACATCAATCGTTTCATGATTTCAATCAAAACTCAATCTCTCATTCTTTTAGTAAGTTTATTAATCAGCTTCCGTTTACATCATTCCAACTATTTTAAAGTTATAATTATGATCATAAATCGATCAATATTAAACTACCATTGAATACCTAGAAGTACTGAACGATTGTTTCATGTAAAGGTTAAGGGTTCATGCACGGGACTGACGGTCCTGTATTCATATCTCATACATTGAATCATACATACTCCCTGCTGAAGAGTCTCATACTAGGACAAAACAGCTGTCTATTACATCCACATTTTCAATCGTGATCTAACATTAATCGATTCATGATCTCAAACAAAATTCAACAATCATTATTGACCTAATACTTATATTTATTTTCAATTCTTGAGATCATGAGTCAATTGAAGCTAGACCACTATGGAAAACCTGGAAGCAGTGGACGGCCATTTCGTCTTATTGTGGGACTCCTCAGCAGTGCGCATCCATGATTCCGTGCTGCAAGATTCGAACTCATGATCTACTGGTCTCGCGCGAGATCATTTAACCGCTATACCACTGAACCGGTTGAATTGCTCTGGTCACTGCTTCTTCACTAGAACTCCAGGATATAATACATCAACAATCATTATTAACCTAATAGTTACAATTATACTCATATATGATATGTTTTTCTCTTACTTTGTTGTTTTCATTAGACACGAACGAATTTTATTCAACGTATTGCATCTATATATAGTCAAATTAATAATTTAACTAGTTTACAATGTAAATTAAAATATATTAATGTATGGGAACAATTACATTTACATGGTATTGCATTTTTTACT